CATTACTTGACTTTCCACCTAGATATACAATATATTTCGCGCTTAATGTCTCTTATTTATTTGTCAAACAATACTTGCGGATTGTTCAGTTGCTTCTCTTGGGTTCAGGCATTCGAATCATCGTGCCATTCAAATTAGACTTTTTGCCTCGAATGTGAAACCACAAATTCCAATTATCCATGCTATTTTCTTCTATTGGTTCCTGTAACTCAGTTGTTCTTTTTAAGGACTTTTGATTCTGCATACCAAATTAATTTAAACCGTATTTAATCAGTAATATATTGCCAATGATTTCATTTTGTTAAATTGATTGTTTCTGACTTTTGTAAATAAGGCCCTTACTTTTGCATGCGATTTTCATTTTGGTGTTGTTCAGTCTGTTTCCAATATTCCTAGTACACACACATGGGCATTCGCACTCGAACACAATCATTCACAATGTTGTGCTTAGTGTTTTGTTTATAAAATTAGCTTATTGAGAGTCTTCTTGAAAGGAAAGAACTTGCAGTGGCATCTGTGAGTACGGATACAAGAAACTGGGAGGAAGTATTGAAAAGTTAGGTAAATTGCATTTACAGTACTACATCAGTTGGGTGAATGAACAATTTCTACCATTTTTGAGTTTTTGCATCCAATGAAATATAAGGAAACACTTTAATTAATCATGACTTACTATTCGTACTGAGTTATTGCGTGTAAGCTTAAGTCAGCTGAAAAAGTCTTTACCTGTTATATATCTTAGATTTAGTTTTTTAAACAAAAGTGCACACGGAACCAGTGCCTTGACAATGTTCATAATTCTTATTTCCACCTTATTTGTCATCTTAGCATGTTATTTTCTAATTGTCAGTCAGAACTTTTCTGCATATTTTACCTCTCTTTCTAAACTACTCAATATTCTAAACTTCAGAAGTATCCTGCTTCTTCAATTTTTTCGTAATAACTTTCGAAATAATGGTCACAGAACCCTATTTTCTTGTTCTATTTATTCATTTAAAAAGTAATTACCGACATCTTTCTAGTTTAAAAAACAGTGGTATATTATCTCTATGCATATTTTTGAATTCATCTGATTGACATAATTGTGTGGTTAACAGGAAATGGCAAACTTTGTTTTAAGTTTCCCCGGAGGTACCGAAATCAATGTAACCTTCCAACGTGGTTTACTCATATGACATATAATAACAAGATACATACTTATCTCTAAGTAATTAGAACAAAATGATAACCGATAATACACATAGTAATCGATTTATGATTGATTTATCTAAATTTAACTACTTAGATGAAGAGAATATTAGACTTTCACATTGTTATTACAGGAAATATCAGTGAGCAGGAGCTACTATGTAGTAAAATACAATCAAACACATCTGTACATCTTTGGGTGTCACTAGTTAACGGATTCCGCTTGCTAGCACGAAACGTAGGTCTAGAAACTCCTGTTCACTACCTCCAACCACTATCTTATTTCAAGGATTATTCACATGCAAAATAAAATGGATTAAAAGTAAGCCTGATATGAAGTTGTGGTTGAATTAGCTGCAGATGTTTAATCACAACATCCCTTTTGTGTAATTTTCATCAAACATAGTGATGTGAAATTGATACTGTATAGAAAAACAAGTATATTTTAATTTGTTCATACGAAAACTTAATTGAGTATGTGAATTCTTTCATTAATTCTTTATGTGGGTGGAATGAACTCTGTAAAACATTTGTAAGGAAGACAAATCGTTTTCAGAAACACTTTCTAAGCATACGAGATTCATAATATTAAAAAACTCAATATATTTTAATTTTTCTGAAATAATCCAGATATATATTCATATATAAATCTGTGTTTTCTAACACTCCGCAAACATTCCAACATACTAATCAACAATAATTAATTGAAATAATACAGAAAATATATTTGTAATAACATCTACGTAAAGTTCATTAGTCTACATTACACACTCGTGATATTATTTATTTACTTATAAGTACTTCTACTTATCTTAGCTAAGTAATCAGTTGAAAGCAAGATCTGATAGACAAAATACATTTAGTCATTTTACAAATAGATTGTTCACCCGAACCAGTGATTTGGTTAAATATTATTTTCTCAGATCTCTTATAGGCAAATGTTTCGAAGTGTATCCTCAAAGTCATATCATTCGTTCGTTGATCCACTCCGAATAAATCATCTCCAGGTTGTTTATTCTTTAATGTTTCACTCTGGAAAACTCCCACTAAACGAGGATTTCTGCAGAAACTAAACAAACGTGCGTAATTTACCAAATTAAGATGTTATAACTCTCCAATTCATACTGGATTTCTGAAGGTTCAACTACCCACACATTCTACCTTTCCTAATCGCTATCTAACATATTCACTAAACATAATGCTAATCTAGATATCTATATTTGAACCATCTATACTTAACTGAATTGCCAACCATTCAAACTATTAGGTTTCACGTTTTGAAACTAGAAAATAGTTTGTTGACTAGTATAATCTATTTACAAAATACTTCACATCAGGATTATCTCTACAAAAAGTGCTGTGTACAATAATTACTTTTGACATTAATAATAAATCACCTTAAAGGAAAAGTATGCTTTCAATAAATTACCTGCTAGTTCTATAGTTCGAGTACCATAAATTGGTTTCATAATCACAATTATGACCATGTTTTTAAAGAATTTAGTCATAGATCGATCCTGAGGCACACAAATGAAAGCTGAAAATATACAGTTGTTGGGAGTTTGGATACATTTTAAACTATGCATGAATTCCATCACAGATATTTCGTCAATAATGGTAAACGTAGCGTAGAATTTCCCGCATCACTACTTCGCTACATTTAACCTAGTCATCAAACGAAATACTTTAATCAAATATTTCGAACTTCGCTCATTACAGGATATTATCTGACCAACTAACTAATGAATATATATTGATCCCATTCCCGATGTCCTACTACTTATCATTATCCTCACGTCCAGTGTTTCATAGTTAATAAATAGAATAAAGATGCTTATTAGCTGAAGACACTGTGTTGATGATTCTAATTAACAATATTGGAACTACACACATTACATAATCTCAACACATGTGTGGGTAGAAATCACAAACAAGACACATAACCATGTATAAACAAAGGCTATTACATTTAATACTGTGATACTCTCATATAGTTTGTTATCAGATCTTACCAGAGTTATCGAGAAGAAGTCACAATGATTCAATTGACTGTCATCTGTTTTGTTGCACTAGTTATTAGAACGAATAATCATTGAAGTTGTACAACTAAGGCATTCATAGGGAGTTGTAAAAACACAAAATATCAGATTACACACAAGTTTTTATGCGTCTGACGAAGAATTCATATTAATAGGCAAACAGAATGAAACCATGCCAACGATAACTCTGATACGTACATATCTACACCACTGATGCTCCTCCCTCTTGCCTATATTTTTGACAAATATATTTTCAATTCACTATATGCGGTAAATTGAACATGATTCCGAAATTGATGTACGAAAATGCATTTGCGTCTCGTAGATTAGACAATTTTTTAAAATATGTGTTGCAATTAACTGAGGTGGAAATTAAGTGAGATTGCATTTAGTTAGTATGGAAAATTAACTAACCACCAGTCTTTTTATATGTGCCAATTACTTCGTCATGCTACCTGAAATAACTTCGAATGGATTTCGTCAGGATATAGGTTCGTTTTGTTAACGTTTTCTAATCAAACACTACAGTGTAAATTAGATTGCTTATACACTGAACTATTAGAAAACAACAGGAAATACGAAGTATTTGACAAGAATGTTAGATGTGTACCATTCAACCTTGTCGCAGGCAGCGAATTATAACCCAAGTACAGTCTGTTACATATGCTCAACAGCCAAACTTAATACAACATCAACAGACCAAGGTGAACCTTAACACGATCAATAGCTAACGAGTCAAAATATTAATGCTATCATTAGTGATGTTGCGTGTCGATTGACTAATTCTGAAGTCCTACCCATTCAGATGACCTATCATGACAATGACAAGACAGACGAAAACTAGACAGAACTGTTAAGTTCGAACTCACTGGAGTGAGCTACCTGCGAAATTGGTACTGTCCAAAAGTTTATGGAGTTTAGTCATATTACTTCTGTGTAAAATGTGTTAAACTACTACTCAGTGAGAAACCTATTCTGCTGTACAGTTAATTTGCCTTCTCATATCTGTTCATTCGGCAGTTACGTCAACAATCTGGTCTCATGAGAAGACATCACCCTGCCACATTGTGTCACTACACATCATTTGTCAATCAGTGTTTTGTTCTAATAACTAAAAGCCTTGTTCATCTATCACTAAATCCTCCATTATAACACAATGACTATCTTAATTTCCTCCTCTGCAATTTCGCTCTGGCAATGATATCACATTTCTAAATAACATTAAAAAACTAGTATTCACTTTGGAGGTACGACACAAGTACGCTAGAACGCCAAACATTTGGACCCGTCTTCACGACCACACGATCCCTTACAGTTAATCTGATGCAACGATAGCCCCTGTTAACACCAACCAACCCTTATACTGGAGACTTGTGAAACTACTTAAACAAGAAGCAAACATATCTAGTCTGTAATAAACATGCATATATTGAAAATTAATGTCTCGAAACACCCATCTGAAATTCATCCATAAGTATCTTGCCAAGGCAATATCTTATATTCAATGCTGAACTGACAACAATGGGTCAAGGCACCAGATCACAGCGAAACTACGCTCTAATCAAACTAGATAATAACAAGACCGGTTGGACTTTGACAATATCAGATAGTATAACTTCAAAATCATTTATCATACTCGTACGCAATGCATTATCACTTCACTAATAATTCTGATCAGTGGTTCTATTCCATCAAATGAACCTACACAGTTAATTGATAGTCACCCATACAATCGGGAGCTTAATTTATACAATGAAGCTAACAAGTACACATACAATAAAAGTAATGTTTATTGACAATGCTAACAGAATTAACAAACGGTTAACGTCAGACTAATAAGTAGTCAGTGTAATAAAATAAGAATCTATGTTTATAGTTGGACTTTATCAACTAGGTATTTCGAAATATGACATTTCATAACTAGCTAGTCTGTTATTCAGTAGGAAGGTACTATTTCAGCACTTGAGGTCATTTTGTTAAAATAAACGACGTTAAATAATAGGAAAGCAAGAACTAAGAGAATATTTTTTACAGAAGTACTGTTCAAGTTTGAAAGAGTGTGTGAACAGGTACGCCAAGATCTTCTATCCTTTTACGTGCACCCAAACCTTTCAGTTCCATGAACAACAAACTGGATAGGATTTTAGCTCCAGATAATTTTACCAATTTCATACCAGCTTCAAGACTTCCACCAGTGGCCAAAACATCATCAAAAAGGACTACATTATCATCAGGCTTGAGAACATCCTTTTGAATTTCTACAACACTCTGTAGATGCAAATAAATTGATAAAATACAGTATATGCTTCAAGGCTGTGTTCAATACTAGTATAAGCATTTATTAACATTGCTACTTATGCAAAGATAAATGACTTGATTTGATTTTACTTATAACAACTGAGGTCATATTTAGGATAGTGGACTGAGAATAACTGTTTATACTTCGGACAGAAAAGAGCACTTAGTTCATTTTGAAATACCCTGTACATACACTGAAGAACTCAATATCTGTTGTTTACGGAAGACAACTGAACAAGTGACTGGAAATTTTGGTGATTCCAACACTTATACAGTAATTATGATTAGGTCCCCGACATTGACCTTGGATCCCAAGACTTACAATTGTTACGAAACTAAACATAGAGCCAGGCAACTATAGCTGGCTCATTAGTTCAACTATTAAAAGTAAGTACAAGTCGCTTGAAAGTAACTTGAGTACATGTACTCAAGTATATGCATATACTCAACTAATCCACCTATACAGCCTTGGTTTCAGAAATATTAATCTGTATAAGTTATAAATCATCAACACAAACTTACATTTCCATATTCTAATTCGTATTTATAAGAGAAACAAGGACCTGGAAGTTTTCCTGCTTTTCGAATAGGGACGAAGGAGCAGTTCAGACGAAGGGCAAGTGCTGGTCCAAGAAGAAAACCACGTGACTCGAGACCCACAACAACGTTAATTTTCTAACATACAATAGGACGAATGCAACGCAGCTTACCGTAAATTTACGTTCTATCTCAGATGTAGCCACATAATATAATTCATCCAATAGATATTGAGTTAAAACAGGGTCTCTAAAAACGCCAAAAAAGTCCCTTTATTAGTCTAAGCACACATTGTATGAAAAAGTACCAGAAAATAATGCCTTGTTTTGGGAAATCTGGTATAATCCCGATAGCTGACTTAATGGCGTTCAGCTTAGACTCACGATCAGATGACTTTGGCAACGATCCAGTGGCTTCGTCCATTGGTGGAGGTTACTGAGCACTCAAAGGTCAAACCGTCGTAAAGCGATTGGCGTATCACCTCGACAATCCGTAAGCTTTTCCAAAAGCGGTCAAATCAAGACAACTTTGCGTAACGCAGGTAACGGTGTCTATTCGGAAGTAGAAACGATCCAAAACTATAGAATAAAAGCCAGCGTCAGTGCAAGTTTCACATTACTAAGAGCCGACCGAATCCAGAAAGCATAGAGGAGGAGTAGCCGTAAATAAAAAGTTCTGTAAGTCTTCGACATTGGATGCTGACAACATTAGTTTAAATGGACTAAATTCCGAACGCATGAGTCATGTAAAGACCTTGATGAAAAGATCGAATGTCAGTTAACCACGACATAAAAACATTTTAAATGATATCAATGCATCTCTGAGAATGCCTATATTGGGCTCAAGCCTTCTGGAATACATCCCCCTCGACTCCATGACCTATCCACGATTCATAAACTAGAGATACGTTTACGTCGAATTACAGGCCAGAGTATGATAGAATTATCCGACGTCATTTCATGTCGAGTGAGATCTGTTTTGAATGAATAGACCTCAGCGTTAGAAGTGTTGGTAATCTCCAGAATCTGGTCGGCAGATGCAAAGAGCTCGTCTACAGCGTTGTTTCAAAATAAAGTAAACACTGGCCGCACTTCTTGGGGACGCTTAGACAGGGAACGATGTCTAAACAGGTCTTCGTCAAAGTTCCGTTGACCAATGACTTCTCGCATTCATAGTAATATTTCTGTTGCCCATCCATGTTGTAGATTGACGTTATTGAAGAGTAATTCTAACCTTTGTCCGTTAGTTAGATCACCACTCTTAAGAATGGCCCTTTTTAAAGTTTTGTAAGGTTCCGAGACATCACTAGTAAACATTCTAGGTAAGATGTAACTATAAAAACCTCGCAGTAGTGATTTCACTACTGCAACAACTCAGAACTTCGTACGTACGTATATCAGTTCGAGTTGCCATACCACATTAGCACAAATATACAATTCTCGATTCAAATCCCATTTGCGAATTATAACGAAGGTGCATTCTGGTACAGCTCAACTTACCACACAATATCAACAGACCAAGGTGAATCTGGACACGATCAATGGCTAACGAGTCGAAATATTAATGCTATCATTAGTGATGTTACGTGTCGTTTGACTAATTTATCGGCTCTAATTTTTACTTGCTCCGCTGCTACATTTTAATCCTTATAAGCTGTGAATTTCCTGCTCGCTAACATGCATCGGAAATGCCTAAACGTTAGGTGGGTTAAGAGAATTTCTCATCGGAATGTAGAATAGCGGTCTCTGCTGAAACGAATCTTTTCGGGAAAAACATCGGTTTCCAGGCATTTTCGGCCAATTGGTTAGGAAGAGCTCGCTATTCTTTTGTAGCGGTAAATAAATCCCAAAAATCAATAGCTCTGTAAGTTTTCGACATTGGATGCTGACCACATTAGTTTTGATGGATTCACCTAGCTGAAGGCGCTCGGTCATGCATCCTCACCGGATCACGAGTGGGAACCCCGTGCTCAACATCTCCTGCAATCGCTAGCCAGATTAGACCAGACTATCGTCGATATATTGATAGCCCATCAAATATATCTTCGAACCTCCTCACTTCTATCTTTTGATTTCACTTGGTGGGTACGATTCATATTAGGTGTTACTGGTTAAAGCTTTGTCAAACTCCAAGTGCCTTTGGCATCTTGAAGATCAATCGTTTCTTGATATTCGCTAAATGAAGAAGGAACGATTCGAGCATGTTTGGGCATCGTTCCATTTGGTGAAACTCTAGAGCGACGTAATTATTTCCAATATAATTCATGATACAAATTGGCTTCTTTGCACTCCTTTATAAATTCAACATTTGTCTTCGTTTCACTGAGCCTTGCCTTATACTTCAGGTACTCGTTGGGAACCTTTAACGCAAATTTTTGCTCAGAACCTTTCATTATATTGAAAATTCCCATTTCGACATTTGGTAAATAAAGAAGTAACAAATTGAGCTCGGATTTTCACTATATTGAAAGCTTCTCGATATATTGATATCCTATCAAATTTATCTACGAACTATAAAAATCGCGCATTGGTGATATTACTACTGCATAGAATTTCGCACGTGGGTCTGACATGCCGTGTTAGTGGAAGTCAGCTTCTGCGTAGCAGAACCAAGCTCCTACGTTTTCAGACCGAAATGGCACTAACTGAAGAGAGGGAGGTGAAATAGTTTTGATGTAAAATAATTTGGGAGTCTGTTCCGTCATGGTGAATATAAAGTATACCAGTGAACGAGAAAAAATATCCGAAAATGTGAAAACGATATCACGGTGTGTAAAAACAACAATCAAAAGGTAATGTGGCTGGCTAGTAGTTGAAGAGGACGCGTAGCACGGTGTACCCAATCATGATCTGTTGTGAGTGATCGAGCACCTTCAGCAAAACCAGTGAGGTCGACTTCAGTGTCGACACAGGTTCGGCGTAGCGCAGTCCACAAAGTATAAGGAAAAAATACATGTTGTGAATTTCATGGCATGAATTAAAGACATTATCAAGAATTATCTTACTAAACTTTCATCTAGTGAACGAAGTAGTGCTTGTACAACAACCTGTCTTTGTTACATCTGATAACACAAGTGTATAAATACTGATCGGACTGAGCTGTCATTGTTACAGTTACAGTCTATTTCGTAAAATGTCTGATCGCGATTCTAGACTTAGAGCTATCGAGTCAGCTGTCGGGATTATACCGAACTTTCCAGTGAAAGGCATTCTCTTCCGGTATTTTGTCCTTTCCATATAATATGTGCTTATACCTATGAAGTGACTTCTTTGGCGTTTTCATGAATCCTGTCTTAACCCAATATCTATTGGATGAATTATATTATGTGGCTACATCCGAGGCAGCGCGTAAATGTAAAGTAATTTGTGTTACAACCTGTGTATAGTACGTTAGAAGATAGATGTTGTTGTGGGCCTCGAGTCACGCGGTTTTCTTCTTGGACCAGCACTTGCCCTTCGTCTGAACTGCTCCTTCGTCCCTATTCGAAAAGCAGGAAAACTTCCAGGTCCTTGTTTCTCTCATCGATATACATTGGAATATGGAACTGTAAGTTTGTGGTAATATTACCAAATCATATGATTTGTGACATAAAAATTATTATTTTTGCAATTAACGCCACACAAGTGACGAAGTAATATTTCGCCCGTGACTAGTGTATTTGAAGATTTGGTGATTTCTTTGTTATTTAACATCTGCTAGCTAAACTGACTAATCAGTCAGTTGTAACAGTGGTTGCTTGGCTCATTGTTTACTTTCCCAACAATAGGAAGTTTGTATACTTATAAGTAAAAGAACGAAAGCATGCGGTCAAACATTGTTACTGTCTGAAGCGCTTATAAGCACTTAATTAAGAATCAACAGAGCTACAGTAACTAATTTTGAGCTCTCCAGCATACAAACTGTTTTAAACGCAGTTTAAATTAGCCTGGAATATCTATAAATGTCATTTGCTTATTTTGTTGTCTCTGTTATGATCCAAATATTTTGTAAAAGCAATTGTAAACATTCCTATCAAGAATTTTAAACTGCAAATTACACAATAGGAGACGACTTCTCTATGTAATTCATCGATCATGGTTGTACAAAATTATTAGTGTATCATCGGGTGTGACTACTGCTGATACAAGACAGTACCTTTATCTACCGAAACATAAAGTGTAACTACTCCTCACAGGGTAGGTTCGAGAATCTAGCTTCCGTTTGTAGTCACTCAAAAGCGTTAACTCTATTCTAAGTGTAGGTTTATTATTAAACCTAATACCTTTTGTAAGTCTTTAGCAGTAGTCTTGATTGTAGAAATGCAAATGAGTCAACCGTCTACAGGAATAGCAATTTTAAGTGATATTTATGCTTATCTCACTCAATATAACTCTGGAACATGGCTTTCATTGTCTTACTGTTTATTTGTCACCATAGGATACCATAGAAATCCAAAAGGATGTTGTCAATTCTGGTGATAATGTATTATTATTGGACGATGTTTTAGCCACTGGTGGAAGTCTTGAAGCTTGTGTTAATTTGGTAAACCTATCTGGAGCTAAGATTTTATTCAGCTTGTTGTATATGGAACTGAAGAATCTGTCTGGACGTAAGAAACTAGAAGATCTTGGCGTTCCTGTTTATTCACTCTTCCAAGTTTGAACATTCTATCTTGTGTAGAAATGCTTTATTCTCTCATACTTCGTTCCCTTTTTATTACTTGACATCAGTTATTTTTTCTGCATATCTGAGATACGAAATGCTTTTTATCTATTGAATCATAACATGTTATTGTTAGTTGTGGAATGTATCTCTTGAGCAATTGAGTTCACTTCTGTATGTAGATGCTTATATGAACTAACTTCCCATTATTTTGATTTCAACTGTTTGGAGACTTTGCTTGTATTATTAATGACCGTTATTTTAAAAAGAATGAAGACGTTTCAGCAAAGAAAGCTTTTTTGACGATGACACTTCCTAAAGCTGTACTGTTATCTTGATGAGTGATTTTTATACTTCGTAGTCTATAGTAATATAGAGGGGTTTAACAATTTTATCAAAACTATTTAAATTTATTCAAGTGGAGGTCGGTCACAATGAAGTCGTTTTCAATAATATAGTCGTTGTCAAAAACGTTCAAGTATTTTAAGCAATAATTTATAAATCGTAGGATATTATTTTAATGTGATTGTATAAAAAAGGTTGCGTCATCTAATCAAGTAATTAGCAATTAAGTGCTTGTGGTATGTAATAGTTTTGGAAGCAGTAAAAGGTATTGGTCTATGGGATAAAAGATAGAGATAAGTGTCTACTTAATAACGGAAGAGAAGCAGATGATGATAATTAGCAATTATAATTTGTAAGTTTTGAAGGGGTGATTACCATGGGAGAATAAGGGGGTGAACGTGGCTCTTCTTTACACAGAATTCAGTATTGACATGGTTAGTTGCCATAACCTCAGCTGTGCATAAATTCCTCATCCAAACATTTTTTGGGTCCGTTCTTACTTTGTAGAGGATTTTGAACGTAGATATGCGTAGTGCGGTGTAACCTGAATTGACCATGTGTTCAAGAAATGAGCAGTTGAGTGATTTGTATACCCCTTTGGATAACCATGCAGGGCAGTGCTAGGATATTCGTTTACCAAGTGCTCGCTTCTTATGACCAACATAACCATCTCCACAATAACAAGGAAACTGGGTGATACACATTAGGTTGACCCAAAAGAGCAGTTTATATTTTACACTAGCTGTAGAAAACAATCTGAAGCCCTGCTGAATAAACTATTTTCCAAAGATCTGAATGGTCTATACCTAAATATCTCAGCGTTATTTTTGTTGTGTATGTATTAGTGAGCTCACTTTCAGGTATATGGATGACTATCAGTTAACTGTGTAAGCCACTGTCCAAAATTACTAGTTTAATCAAAGTGGACTGCATATGACTAAGCTGAATGATTTAGAAATGATATTATCTCACCGTCATACTGCGGCCAGTCTTGTTAGTTTCACAAGTCTCCAGTATAAGGGTTGGTTGGTGTTAACAGGGGCTATCGTTGCATCAGATTAACTGTAAGGGATCGTGTGGTCGTGAAGACGGGTCCAAATGTTTGGCGTTCTAGCGTACTTGTGTCGTACTTCCAAAGTGAATACTAGTTTTTTAATGTTATTTAGAAATGTGATATCATTGCCAGAGCGAAATTGCAGAGGAGGAAATTAAGATAGTCATTGTGTTATAATGGAGGATTTAGTGATAGATGAACAAGGCTTTTAGTTATTAGAACAAAACACTGATTGACAAATGATGTGTAGTGACACAATGTGGCAGGGTGATGTCTTCTCATGAGACCAGATTGTTGACGTAACTGCCGAATGAACAGATATGAGAAGGCAAATTAACTGTACAGCAGAATAGGTTTCTCACTGAGTAGTAGTTTAACACATTTTACACAGAAGTAATATGACTAAACTCCATAAACTTTTGGACAGTACCAATTTCGCAGGTAGCTCACTCCAGTGAGTTCGAACTTAACAGTTCTGTCTAGTTTTCGTCTGTCTTGTCATTGTCATGATAGGTCATCTGAATGGGTAGGACTTCAGAATTAGTCAATCGACACGCAACATCACTAATGATAGCATTAATATTTTGACTCGTTAGCTATTGATCGTGTTAAGGTTCACCTTGGTCTGTTGATGTTGTATTAAGTTTGGCTGTTGAGCATATGTAACAGACTGTACTTGGGTTATAATTCGCTGCCTGCGACAAGGTTGAATGGTACACATCTAACATTCTTGTCAAATACTTCGTATTTCCTGTTGTTTTCTAATAGTTCAGTGTATAAGCAATCTAATTTACACTGTAGTGTTTGATTAGAAAACGTTAACAAAACGAACCTATATCCTGACGAAATCCATTCGAAGTTATTTCAGGTAGCATGACGAAGTAATTGGCACATATAAAAAGACTGGTGGTTAGTTAATTTTCCATACTAACTAAATGCAATCTCACTTAATTTCCACCTCAGTTAATTGCAACACATATTTTAAAAAATTGTCTAATCTACGAGACGCAAATGCATTTTCGTACATCAATTTCGGAATCATGTTCAATTTACCGCATATAGTGAATTGAAAATATATTTGTCAAAAATATAGGCAAGAGGGAGGAGCATCAGTGGTGTAGATATGTACGTATCAGAGTTATCGTTGGCATGGTTTCATTCTGTTTGCCTATTAATATGAATTCTTCGTCAGACGCATAAAAACTTGTGTGTAATCTGATATTTTGTGTTTTTACAACTCCCTATGAATGCCTTAGTTGTACAACTTCAATGATTATTCGTTCTAATAACTAGTGCAACAAAACAGATGACAGTCAATTGAATCATTGTGACTTCTTCTCGATAACTCTGGTAAGATCTGATAACAAACTATATGAGAGTATCACAGTATTAAATGTAATAGCCTTTGTTTATACATGGTTATGTGTCTTGTTTGTGATTTCTACCCACACATGTGTTGAGATTATGTAATGTGTGTAGTTCCAATATTGTTAATTAGAATCATCAACACAGTGTCTTCAGCTAATAAGCATCTTTATTCTATTTATTAACTATGAAACACTGGACGTGAGGATAATGATAAGTAGTAGGACATCGGGAATGGGATCAATATATATTCATTAGTTAGTTGGTCAGATAATATCCTGTAATGAGCGAAGTTCGAAATATTTGATTAAAGTATTTCGTTTGATGACTAGGTTAAATGTAGCGAAGTAGTGATGCGGGAAATTCTACGCTACGTTTACCATTATTGACGAAATATCTGTGATGGAATTCATGCATAGTTTAAAATGTATCCAAACTCCCAACAACTGTATATTTTCAGCTTTCATTTGTGTGCCTCAGGATCGATCTATGACTAAATTCTTTAAAAACATGGTCATAATTGTGATTATGAAACCAATTTATGGTACTCGAACTATAGAACTAGCAGGTAATTTATTGAAAGCATACTTTTCCTTTAAGGTGATTTATTATTAATGTCAAAAGTAATTATTGTACACAGCACTTTTTGTAGAGATAATCCTGATGTGAAGTATTTTGTAAATAGATTATACTAGTCAACAAACTATTTTCTAGTTTCAAAACGTGAAACCTAATAGTTTGAATGGTTGGCAATTCAGTTAAGTATAGATGGTTCAAATATAGATATCTAGATTAGCATTATGTTTAGTGAATATGTTAGATAGCGATTAGGAAAGGTAGAATGTGTGGGTAGTTGAACCTTCAGAAATCCAGTATGAATTGGAGAGTTATAACATCTTAATTTGGTAAATTACGCACGTTTGTTTAGTTTCTGCAGAAATCCTCGTTTAGTGGGAGTTTTCCAGAGTGAAACATTAAAGAATAAACAACCTGGAGATGATTTATTCGGAGTGGATCAACGAACGAATGATATGACTTTGAGGATACACTTCGAAACATTTGCCTATAAGAGATCTGAGAAAATAATATTTAACCAAATCACTGGTTCGGGTGAACAATCTATTTGTAAAATGACTAAATGTATTTTGTCTATCAGATCTTGCTTTCAACTGATTACTTAGCTAAGATAAATAGAAGTACTTATAAGTAAATAAATAATATCACGAGTGTGTAATGTAGACTAATGAACTTTACGTAGATGTTATTACAAATATATTTTCTGTATTATTTCAATTAATTATTGTTGATTAGTATGTTGGAATGTTTGCGGAGTGTTAGAAAACACAGATTTATATATGAATATATATCTGGATTATTTCAGAAAAATTAAAATATATTGAGTTTTTTAATATTATGAATCTCGTATGCTTAGAAAGTGTTTCTGAAAACGATTTGTCTTCCTTACAAATGTTTTACAGAGTTCATTCCACCCACATAAAGAATTAATGAAAGAATTCACATACTCAATTAAGTTTTCGTATGAACAAATTAAAATATACTTGTTTTTCTATACAGTATCAATTTCACATCACTATGTTTGATGAAAATTACACAAAAGGGATGTTGTGATTAAACATCTGCAGCTAATTCAACCACAACTTCATATCAGGCTTACTTTTAATCCATTTTATTTTGCATGTGAATAATCCTTGAAATAAGATAGTGGTTGGAGGTAGTGAACAGGAGTTTCTAGACCTACGTTTCGTGCTAGCAAGCGGAATCCGTTAACTAGTGACACCCAAAGATGTACAGATGTGTTTGATTGTATTTTACTACATAGTAGCTCCTGCTCACTGATATTTCCTGTAATAACAATGTGAAAGTCTAATATTCTCTTCATCTAAGTAGTTAAATTTAGATAAATCAATCATAAATCGATTACTATGTGTATTATCGGTTATCATTTTGTTCTAATTACTTAGAGATAAGTATGTATCTTGTTATTATATGTCATATGAGTAAACCACGTTGGAAGGTTACATTGATTTCGGTACCTCCGGGGAAACTTAAAACAAAGTTTGCCATTTCCTGTTAACCACACAATTATGTCAATCAGATGAATTCAAAAATATGCATAGAGATAATATACCACTGTTTTTTAAACTAGAAAGATGTCGGTAATTACTTTTTAAATGAATAAATAGAACAAGAAAATAGGGTTCTGTGACCATTATTT